AATTTTAAGTAATTTAATATACAATTAATTAATAAAATTAATAAAAAATTTTTAAATAATTAAAATGTTTAACATTGGAAAAAGGTAATAAATAAATACAATTAAAATATTTCATATATTGAATATAATATCATAAAAATTAATAGCAGCCCAAAAGAGTAGCCTTTGAAAACTGGCTATATATTTCTTCTGTCTTAGCAATAAACTGATAAGAATCTTTAGGCTACGATAACAACACAAATCGGCTGTCTTCAATTGTTTTAAGAGTAATGATTTCAAATATTTTTTTTTGCCCTGTTTTGTTATTGTAATTTATTTCAGTCTCTTGTTCATGCGAATTTTATTGTTTACTATGCCAGTTATTTTTCAACTTTGCCTTAACACGAGCAAAATGGATTTGATAGCCGCAAATAGGTGTATCTAGGCATTTTTATTTTTCTGGCCAAGTTAAAACGTGTGCAAAAAACTTCATTTTAGCAATATTGTAGGGCCGTGTGCAAAATGAATTCATCGTATTTTTTAATTATTGGGGCAAAGTGCATAATTGTGGTGAAATTTAAATTTGGTAAAATTGGTTTTAATCTTTGTTAAAAAAATAGACATGTTAAAAACTCTACAAATGCGTTAAAATTTTGAATGTTTAAATGAATTATTTAAAAAATTATATTATAAAAAATATTCCCGACTTAGTGAATTTCTTATAGTTGTTATATAGCCTATTTTTTACTTATATAAAAAATGCTTGTGATTTTATTTATTATCACAATTTTTTAAAATTCTAAAAAACAAAAAAACACCTTTAAAAGTATTTAAAATAAATCTTTATATGCATAATCTTAAGACGTTAATAACATCGCCATATAGCGTAGTGGAAAACTTAAACCTAGTATTAATATTCATTGATACAAAAGTCCGTATAAAAAAATTTTCTACGATATCAAAATTTTGCGGAAAATTTTTTTATATGAAGTTGTATGTCAATTTTTCGTGTGATTTAGATTTAATAGATTTAAGATATTAACTAGAATACCACAATTTTAGTAAAATTCAACCTTTTGAGCAACGTTTTCCACTACGCTATATATCAATGTTACTTCGTCTTAACATATCGTGACCAAAGTTACTTTAGTTACATATATTTTAATAGATAATATTTAAATATATATTTCGTGCAAAATGACTGTTGGTACTGGGCTTTTAGACATGCAGAATGACAATATTTTGATATTTATGAATTTTGATCATAATAAGTTTTGAAGGTTTAATGAGCGCTATTGTGCATAAAAAAATAATGTGTGATTCTAATCTATGTAAATAAAAACATTATATTATATATTATTATTATGTGTATTATTATATATATTATCATATATATTAATATATATATTATTTAAACAAATATTATTGTGCAAATTGTGAAAGCTTTTGTGAAAATTTTCCTGCAAACAATTTTTAATTATTTTTATGTTACTTTAGTTATATATATGCATACCATAAAATATTATATTTTATATTAATATACTTAATATAATATAATTATATTTCTTCTTATCTAAGATATTATATATAGAAATTGCTTCCTTCCAACATATTTTCAAGCAAAAAGTTTTAATAAACTTTTATGGCACCGGCAGAGAGTTCATAAGCCCCATTGCGACTATCATAAATCAAACGGAAGAAATTGTATATATAGTAGGTGCAGAATAATATGCAAAATTTCATTTTAATTATATATTTCTAAACGAATGCTTTTTGTGCAAATAATTAAGAAGCAAAGATTATCTTTAACATTTTCGTTATAAAGTCTGGAACATTGATTTTATTGACCATTTGCCATTTCAAGTCATTAAACAGGTATGAGTAAATCAGACAAAAAATTGCATCATTATTTTTTTAACACACATTTGATAAGAATATTGACAAGGGGCATTTGAAAAAAAATAACAATTTCATACAACAATAATTCAATTAATTTTGAAAATATAAAAATATCAAAATATACACTTTAAATAAAACAAGCAATTAATAGCACAATTACTTAAAATATATCTGAATATAATATATTCTATAAAAATTAAGTGTAAAGTGATCAAGGTATTTAGAATGTTTCAAATATACATTTCAAGTAAATTCTTTCACTACATTATAAATGATTCTTTATACATATAATAAATAAATAAATTCAATAAAAATTATTAAGTGATAATTCTAGTTTACTGCACTCTTAAATTTATAAACAGCCTTCTCGAAAACCATAACAGTTTTAAAACAGTGACAAACACCTTCTATAATAAATTAATTTATTCCAAAAAATGTTGTCCTAGATTACGGAAGTTTAACAGCACAAAAAAAAAACTAAAATAAATTTTTATTTTTCACTATATTTAAATGCAAATTAATCAATTTATTTTCTTAACATGGACTTAGTCAGATGAGCAATATTCTTTCCTTAAAGTATGTTCTATAACGAATTCTATATATAATCTATATTCATGTCCACCTTGTTTCTTTTAATGACTACTCGCATGCTTGTACTTTTAAAAGGTAGATATTTTTTAATGCATGGTTGAGACTTTTACCGTCTTGAAATTTATTAATTATTAACATTATATTTAAGAAATAAAAATATTTAGAAATAAAAATATAAATAAAGAAATAAAAAAAAAAATGTTAATTTGAAACTTATAAAACAAGCATTAAAAACTGACGTTACCAAAATTTAAATGTTAATTTGAAACTTATAAAACAAGCATTAAAAACTGACGTTACCAAAATTTAAATTTTGGCGGTACTTTTGTAATCTTTGTAATATGTTGCCCCTAAAAGTATACATAAAAAATACTAACAATAGTATAATATTAAAGTAATATTTTTAATTTATTTAAATTAAATTTGAATGTTTTCCAATATTTCTCTATGAAAAATAATGAATATATTTTAAATAATTACTCTTGAAATCTTGCTAGCATGTGTTTTTGTTTAGAATATTCAATAGTGATCATAACATATGATTCATAAGTATAACCTGGCATGACACCACATGTCTAATCTAAATCGCACTCAATATTTATCATTCAAAGTAAGTATTAATAAAGCATAAAGAATAAGCACATAAAATTAATAACAATTATACAAAATATAAAATAACTCATCGCATACTAATATTATTAAACTTTTCTCAATTTTTTGTCTTTGTTTAATGTAAATTACGTCTTTAATGTTATTATCTATCGATTTAGAATTGTCGAATTAGAAGAGGAGTGTCATTTCTTGTAACATGCCATATAATTTATGGCCAAGTACAATGAGTATGAAAACATACTAATAAGTAATCTGAAAGCACGGAGGGTGTTTTGTAACACACTCAAATAAATTTTCATAATAACAATAAGAGAATAATATTATTCTTTATATTACTTATTGAAGTATGTATCAGTTTAAAACCAGTTCCCATTTCCAATGTGAAAAGTTCAAGGTAGAAACAAATTTATTTTAAAACAACAAATAATCCGTGACCCACAGTTGTGGGCTGGATTGCACGCGCAACATATGCAAATAAAATAATCAAAAATTTCTTGCCATTAAAGAAATTGATAAGGTAAATATTAATATGTAAATGTATATTAAATATAAATAAAATTAATATGTTTCAGTTACAGTTAAAAAATGCTGATACGCACGATTTGTGGGCGATTTAAACCGGCAACATGTGCTGTAATATATCAACGTTTAAGTATGTCACAACAACAACAATTGCAACTTTTACAAAGCCATTCATGGCAATGTCATAGGTTAAAACACAACCCACTTATACAAACTAGAAGCTCATCTTCACAAACGGAAGATCATAAAAACCAACCTAAAATTCAAGTACAAAATAATCAAGTAATTACAAAGAATTTATTACACGAAATTCGTACAGCACTATCACCATATGCGCGTCTAATGCGCTTAGATAGACCTATAGGTAAGCTACAGCTTAGTAAAATTTTCTGGATCTGTGTATAATTGTGTCCATATTTACTTGTGTTAGGCACATATTTACTTTTTTGGCCATGTGCTTGGAGCATAGCATTAAGTGCTAACGCTGGTTGTTGGCCTGATTTTACTATGCTTGGACTTTTTGCAACTGGTGCACTCATTATGCGCGGTGCTGGTTGTACAATTAACGATCTCTGGGATAAAGATATTGATGCTAAAGTAGAACGTACACGTACGAGACCATTAGCCTGTGGTGAAGTAACACAATTTGATGCCATAGTTTTTCTCTCAGCTCAACTTAGTTTAGGATTATTAGTACTGCTGCAGTTAAATTTGGAATCAATATTATTAGGTGCATGTTCATTGGGTTTAGTTGTGACATATCCACTTATGAAACGCATAACATACTGGCCACAACTTGTTTTAGGAATGGCTTTTAATTGGGGTGCTCTTCTGGGATGGTGCGCAACGCAGGGCTCAGTTTTTTGGTCTGCCTGTCTACCACTATATTTATCTGGTATATGTTGGACAATTGTTTATGATACTATCTATGCACACCAAGATAAAGTTGATGATCTACAAATTGGCATAAAATCAACTGCATTAAAATTCGGTGAAAACACTAAATTATGGTTGTCTGGATTTACTGCTTCTATGCTATCGGGTTTAACAGCTGCTGGTATGGCTTGCGATCAAACACTACCGTATTACGCTGCTGTGGGTATAGTCGGAGCGCACTTAACGCAACAGGTAAATATTTAACCAAGTATTTGTAATTAGTTTATTAACCATAATATTTATTCTGTAGATATATTCACTCAACATTGATAATCCAACCGATTGTGCGAAGAAATTTTTTTCAAATCATCAAGTTGGTCTTATATTATTTCTGGGTATTGTTTTGGGTACACTATTAAAACCCAAGGACCAAAAAAGTAATAATACAAACTTAACAAGTGGCAGTTTACCACAGCTACAACAGACCACCGGTTCGTTAATGCAAATTTCGAACAAGCATGAAGTGCTCAGGTAGTTCCCATTCTACAATAGATAGGAATTATATTTTATAACTACAAAAATTGTATAAAATTATTTTATACCAAAGCGGAAATGTTTAAAACAATAGAATATTAATTTTATAAGTACCTAAAACCAGATAATTTTAACGTTTTAAGTAAAAAAAATTAAATTTAGTTTAATATTTGTGTTGTTTATTAAATCCATTGTATGTATTATTAAATTGTAATGTTAAAGTCTTAAATAAAAATTGTAATTATATTAAATCTGCTACATTCATGGGCATTTCATCAATTTGTGTAGAGTAATATTGTTCAATATCACGTAGAATACGTATATCATCAGATTTTACGAAGTTTATGGCTACACCTTTACGTCCGAACCGACCTGAACGACCAATACGATGTATATACAATTCACGATTATTTGGTAGATCATAGTTTATAACCAACGAGACCTGCTGTACATCAATACCACGGGCCCAAACATCAGTGGTTATTAGCACACGTGATTGGCCAGCTCGAAACTCCTTCATAATTTCGTCACGTTCTTTTTGTGGCATATCGCCATGCATAGAGCTAACTGTAAAGTTTGCTTCTCGCATTTTTTCTGTGAGCCAATCTACCTTACGTTTAGTATTACAGAATATGACTGCTTGTGTAATAGTTAAGGTATCATACAGGTCACATAGGGTATCAAACTTCCATTCTTCACGTTCAACAGCAACAAAAAATTGTTTAATCCCTTCCAGAGTCAATTCATCACTACAAATAACAAATATTAATGTAATGTTTTAAAATAATTTATTATATGTATGTCCTTACCGTTTTACTAAAATACGTATTGGATCCGTCATAAATTTAGAAGTCATTTCCAAAATCTCATGCGGCAATGTAGCAGATATAAGTACAACTTGTGTTGCTGGTGGTAAATACCGATATACGTCATAAATTTGTTCCTTAAAACCTTTATTCAACATCTCGTCAGCTTCGTCAAGTACCAACATTTTAATAGCTCTAAAAAAACAATTTTAAATGTAAATACTTCATTTAAATCGAAATAATTTCAATTCTTTAATATATTACCTTGTTCTCAAAACACGCCTCTTTATCATATCGAATACACGTCCTGGTGTACCGCTTACTATGTGCTGACCATAATCTAACTTTCGTATATCCTCACCCAAATTTGTGCCACCAATGCACACATGACATTGCACATTCATAAAATCACCCAAAGCAAGTATAACTTTTTGAATTTGTACAGCTAATTCACGAGTGGGCGATAAACATAATACTTGAGTTTCTCGTAGACTTGTTTCAAGGCTCTGCAAAATAGAAATAGAGAAAGTTGCTGTTTTGCCTGTACCAGATTGTGCTTGTGCGATGACGTCGCGCCCTTTAATAATTGGTCTTATACTACGCTGTTGTATAGCGGAAGGTTTTTCAAATCCTAAAACACAATTTATTGGTAAAAAATTATAGAAATATATTGTGTATACATACCATAAGCGTATATGCCGCGTAACAATTCCTCTTTGAGGTTCATAGAGTTGAAAGTTGGTATGACCTCAACATCTTCACTGGTTTCGAATTCCACATTGGAAAGATCTTCAGCTGGTGCAGACTTTCTTGCCATGTTGATATATAAAGTTTATTTACTAATATTTACACAATTTGTGTTAATTTTATGAACGTTGCACTTTTTTAACAAGTCAGTAAAGAAATCGCAACGAAAACAATGCGGCGGTGGTAGTTCTGACATTTACTACTGAATTAAGGGTTGCCGATGTGCTTGCTAATTTCCAAAAAAAACGTAAGTTAGTATTTTTCATATGTATATATATGAATTATTTTTGAGAATTTTTTAAATATTTATATTAAATAGAAATAATATTTAATTTATACAATAAATTATTTGATTTTCAATAATCTATGAGATATGCTAATAGGGCTGTTCGGACGTGTTTGATAATTCGGTGAATTTATTTGTTATTGATTTACTGAATAAACGAAAAAGGCAAATTTTTATTTATTGAAGTGTAACACAAAGTTTATATATGATTTAAAATATACTAAATATACTGAAATTTGATATATACCATAAATTTACAGAAATAAGAAATTAAATATAAAAACATGTCACATTGTCAAATCACTTGCACTTAACATGAAAATAGGTTGAAAGATGGCAATGCTTAATTTATGACATGTGTAGACATGGGATAATTAGCTATAGTTAGTTTATAATAAAACATTGAGAATTTTTATTTATTTTAAGTAAATCATGGCAATATCTTGTAGTTTACAAATATTCAAAAATGCAGTTGTAAACTGAAAAAAATATAGTATTTTTATAAGGATAAAAATTGAGATATACCATGGACAGCCATTTGTTACGACTATATCTATATACATGTATTTATAAATAATTTTTAAATGTTATAATATAAAACGTCCAAATTATAATACATTTCTGTGAGACTTAAGTACTTTATTACTTACCTCTGATCGGACAAAATAAAATTTAAGTGAATAATTTATTTTTGCTAATCAAATCACAACTCGAAATGCTCACGAAATACTGTTACAACACCAAGAAAAAATTTTGGTTACTAAATGTTACTATTATAGCATTCACTATTTATATACTATTTTGTTTACAAATGAATATGCAAAATTTTGAAGTCTATCTTAATGCATTCCTAGAATTATGTATAAAAATGTAACCCATAATTAGAGGACCGTATCATACGCCTATTTGGTAAATAGCGGCAAAGAAAAAGTTACCTGTTACACATAAACATTAATAAAAAAACAGGTCCTAATTAAGATATGTAATTAAGAACATTTATAACATGTGGCATGAAATATCTATGACCATCAAGAAGATATATTAAAATTATGATCAGTTCTAGGAATAATTATAAACAGCAGGTAGCAGAAGATAAAAAGTCCGTTAACTAATAATCTAAAATTTGTTTAATGTGATTATAAAAAATGATTTTATATAGAAAATAGCTAAATTTGAGAATTTTTTCTCTATATGAACTTTAGATTCGAAGAAACAATTATGAGTAAGAAAAAACCATAACATGCTTAATGAGGATAATTATATAGATATGCACCTTTAAAAAATTTTAATAAACTATATTGGCTTTGTCTTCCAAAAATTTTAATGCCATGTTAAAGCTTCTTAATTATCAAACGTTAATTAGCTACCATTTACCAATTATTTTAAGTGTTTACATAGCGAATAGTGAAACAAAAGAATAAACTAACATGAACAGCAAATATCAGAAAAAATAGAAAATTATAATTAAGTAAAAATTAATTAAATAATGCATAATAAAAAATTAAATTAAAGTACAGAATGTGCATAACCTGTTTTAACTCAAAATTTCTAGAAATCAAATATTTTTTTTATTTTTTAACAACATTTATGATTATATAATTGTTACATTGCAATATTAATTAATAACAATTTGTAAAATATTTAATTAAATAATTGTTCTCGCAAACATCTCAAACATTTCTATGTGGATTTTATATAAGAAATGACATTTATTATTATACACTACAGCGAATTCCAGCAATGTTTTAATTACGATATTATAAATGTAGCGGATTCCATCTCAAAAGCCTTAAATATTTCACCTATATTTATTAAAGAAATATAAATTTTTAAGAGTCATAGAGTTAATTTCAATTTGTCAGGATCATTGAACTAAGCTAACATAATATCATTGTATGTACCACAAAAAAAAAAAATTCAACTGATACATACAAAAATCAACCTACCACTTCCATTGGCTAATTAAAAACAGTGTGTTTATAATATGTAACATTTATATCATATATTGAGTTTTTATAAAAATTATTTCATATTTTTAAATATCGAATATTTATTTTTACTTTGTCAATATTTAAAAAAGTAATCTACAAAATAATATATCTGTATGTTGTTTTATATATATTACAGTAAAATAAATTTTACAACGAAAATACGATATATGTTTACTAAAAACATAGAAATACTATGTTTTTAAGGTTTGCATTTCTTATAATAAATTGTATGCTTAAAACTTAAATATTTAGACAAAAAATATACTTATAATTAACTAAATATCAAATTTTTGGAAAACTATTTCACAAATAATTGTGAAATATTTGGATCAAACTCAGCATTTTAATAATATAATATATATTATATGCAATATAATGTTTGGTGCAGAAAATATTTTTAATACATTTATACATTTTTTATTAATGTTTCCAAAAATATTAATTTTTTTAAATAATTCTAAATTTTTCATTTTTGTATATAAATATATCACAATTTTTTCAAATATATTTAAATTAAAAATTTAAATATGGCGCATCAAACATTTTAAAATTAATCTTAAATAAAATAAAAATGTGATTAGTGTAATTGACACGAAAAATGCTGGCTGTGGTCATTCGAGAACGATTTAGTCATATGAAATTATAAATAAATTAAAATGAGAACAAAAAATAAAATATAAATTTTAAAACAGCTGCAATCAGTCGAAATGTTTATTTGTACTTTTAAAGCAATAAAATTTTTAATGTTAAGGGTAAATAAAATAGATATTTTTGGTATTATTAAGATATATATATAATATATTTCTAAAATTCAGTGAAATATTATATATTTGTTATAAATAAAAGAAATGCACAATTTAAAAAACAGTTTCTTAACAACTTTTTTTTGATAAATTTGCTTACTAATATTATTTATTTGATTTATGAAAGAAATAAAATATTATATTTATAAAAAAATATTAAATTTGTTTATGAAGTATGTTACGTTTATAAGAAATTAAGTAATTTATTTATATAGAACTTTTGTTCATAAAACAAAAAAAATTAAATAATATATGATGACATTTGTTAAGCTAAATTATATTAATAAAAAATTAAGTATTTGATTTATAAAAATTTATTGTCTATAGAATAATTAAATATTTTTGTTTTATATAATTTAATTATTTAATTTTTATTTATGATTAAATTGTAATTATGAAAATATAAATATTAAAATAATAAGAAATTTCAATATTTTATTAGCAAATTAATCAAATTTTGAATAAATAAAAAACAAAAATTTAAAAGAATAAATAGATTGAAAATTTTCTTTTAAAAAATTCAAATTTTTTTTTTAAATTATGATTAGATTTTATCAATAAAAATGAAAAAAATTAATTTTTTTTTATTGTCAAAAAATTAAATATTTGTTTAATTAAATAAAAATAATGTACTCATTTGTAAAAAATTAAAAATACTTCAATTATAAAAGCTTTAATAATGTATTAAAGCCATGTAACAAACAAATTTAAATTTTGTTTGTAAAAGAAAATCAATTTTTTATTTTTTAACAATCTTGTTAAACTTTGTTACACAAAATTATTTTGTGATGTTTACAATTAATAACAATTTATTATATCAAATATACATTTAAATAAATTTTTAACCAAACTATAAATAATATTAATTATTTTTGAGCTTATGCTTAAGCATTTCATTAACTTTAAAAACGCAAATTATATTTAATGAAACAACTCCAAATTATTTGTTATTTGTTACCGAGTTAAGACCAAGCATAATTTATAATAATTATTAACTTATTACAAAATATATTTCGAAATGCATAAAATAAATAAAAAAAATTATTATTATAAATGGTTAAATGAAATACTTTATGTTGTAAATTATTAAATAAAACTTTAATTTTATTATTTTATATAATTGGCAAATTGTTGATCAAAAAAATCTTAAAATGACTTACAATGATCTGTTTCACAGAAAAAAAAAGCAAAATATTTGTCTCGAAAAAGATATAATCAACTAAAATAAACAAAAAAAAACCAGGTGCGCTACCTTACTTCTTCTCCAAATCTCCCGTAATTTCACCACAGCTTTGAACAAGATTTGGCGTTTCTTCTTCCTTTATGGGATCTGTTTGCAATTCAGTAATAATCAAATTATCAGTTATTAATTGTGGTTCTTGAGTAACATCTTGCCCACTTGGAACAATTATTTCTTCAACACTTTGATTTGAGTCTTCTTCCATGCGTATTTGTAGCAATTGCGCGCGATCAATATTAATTTCTTCATTAGTTGCATCTACGCCATTGCCCATATAGTTATTCTCAATAAAAGCGTTATATTCGCTCAGCGAGCTATGAGATGAGCAGCTACGACGACGTCGTCTTTGACGCATGTCTTTATCCTCACTAGATGAGGAACTGGAAGAGCTCGTACTCGAACTATCGCTTTCACTGTCTTCGCTAGTTGAATCCATAGGGGTTGGTTGACATGCTTCAACTGAAGGTGCTGTAGCCGAAGGCGGTGAAGCAGCTGCAGCAGCTCCTATTGCACCTGACGGTAATAACTGACAACGTAAATCTACAAAATTAAATTAATTAATTTTTAAAATATACAATATATAATATATACAATTGTATTTATTATAAATATAAGTATAATATAGTATGAGTAACTCACTGTAATTTTCTCGTGATAATTCAGTGATTTTCTCTTCGAGCACCTTTATTTTAGACATATATTCAGCAGATATACGTTGTACATTTTGCTGTTGTTGCCGAGCATAACGATCTTCAATTTGTAGACATTCCTCAATTAACTGCTGTTTTGTTAAGTTTTCTAAACGTTCAACGCGTGCCTTTTCATATACATTAGCGAACTCCTTGGTAAGGAACTCCTCTTCATCTTCCGGCAAAGATATAAAATAATTATCCTCTGAATCAGCTGAAAAACTTGAGTCACGTGTACGTCCAGAAGGGGTTAATAATGTACTCGGAATTTCAGCCATATGCTCTTCCATTAAAAACTTGTTTGTATTATAGGGTACCAATGAACGAGAGCGTGTAAATTTTGCACGTGCGCCATTCCTGTTACTTCCGCCAAGACCATTACTATTGGCTACGCCTGATTTATCCCTTTTTACAAATTTACCATAATGTTGATTGGGTAAATGAAAATTCCGATTAGCGGCCTTGTAGGGTTTACATGGATCTTTACATCTGGGTTTTCCACGTCGATGTTTACGTTTTGCTTTTTGTTGTTGTTGTTTTTGTCCAGCAAGGAGTTGTTTTGGTGAAAGTTCATACTCATTTGTTTTAACAGAACGCGTTTCTTTTAAATCACTGGATAAAGTCTTTTCAATTGATTTCTCCATAAGAATATTATCTTCTTTCGATTTCGCACCATCTAAATATGAATAAAATTTCATTTTAACGTGTATATAGTGTTTTTCACATAATTATATGAAATTAAATTAAATAAATTGCTATAAAATTATTGAACTAATACTTAAATTTTTGTATTTTTAAAATCAGTTTGTTTTCTTAATAATTTTATATATGTATACTCTGTAGTTATAGTAAAAAAAATAGGAAAAGTTTTTGCTAATTGGCACTGGGCATCTTATCTCAACATATAAATTGGATTTCTATAATTATCCTACGTGTTATTATATAAAAAATAACCCTCCATACCCGTATTAGAGCTAAAATTTACAGTTTCAATAAAAATTCTTAATATTGATAAGATATAAAATAGTAAATAAATATTTTTAAATATTTACTCAAATACCCAAACATTTTAAAGTTTTAAAAATTTAAACTCTTCACGTTATAATCTAATTGATAAAATATGATTTTAAACTTAATATTTACTGAATGAAATATTATAATTAAAATTCATAATTATAAATATATATTTTCATTAAGTTTTATACGATATTCCTACAGATAATAACAATTAATAGTACTAAATTTATTAATAATATTAAGTTAACCTACACTAAGATAAAACTGACATAACCTCAACATTGTATTCAAATGATTAATATATAAGATAAAAAATCCACATTGTTATTTTAGTAAAAGAATTGTAGAGCAGGAAACATAAATAAATTACAAGATTCATAGATGGCTTAAGATGGAGTGTGGTGAATGCTGCATAAGAGTAGGAAGTTGTAGGTATCATACCTAATTGTGGGCTTTAGTGTATACTCTAACAACTCTTTGCCCGTTAACATAGTTCTTCGAACAAACAAATTTTCATTTCGGTTCAATTGAAAAGAAATATATAGATTCATTTCCAGGTGAATATTTTCTTTTCGGTTGAATTGAAAAGATATATAATAGTTTCATTTCCAGGTAAATATTTTTTTTTTTTAATTAAAATCATTTTAGTCATTATTTTAACAAATCTTAAGGTACTTATTTAGTAAAACCAAATATGCTTTCAAAATAAAAACAGCTTTTAAATTTTTAACTGTGGTTAATTAAAATTTTAACAACTGCCTTTTTGTTGCGCAAATACGCAAAATAAACTTATATTTTTTCCACCTTGTTCTTTTTAGCTCAAACAAAAATATCAGTTTTTTCAGCTCTGGTTCGAAGACCGATATTAATGCTGAATAAGAAACATATATGCAAAAGATATGCTAAAGCAATTTGGTAAGTGCTAATAAAAATGTGGTTTTTGTATTTTTTTTTATAATATTTATTTCTTTTAGCTATCATTTAAATCTAAGACTAGAATATTTTTAGATATTGTTAGGTTCCCATGTAAAGGAACCTAACATTTTAATCGGACGGAACTATATATCGATACATCTTAAATTGATGAAAATAATAAATAATAAAAGCGAACACAAAATTCATAAAATGATGACTTTAAGATTAAGACTATAATAATAGCTTATAATAGTAATAATTATTATTAATTTTTCACCATTGTAACTATATATAATATACAATTTATTACACTGATACAAAATAAAATTGTTTATTTGAATGAATAAATAACTAATAATATTCGAACATTTTTTATATATGAAAAATATATATATATTATATATTGTTTATTTCACATTAAACAGATATTTTATGCTAAAAAAAATTGTAAAAAAAATCTACTTAAAATTGTAATATTTTGCTATTTTTATTTCAATGCATAGCAACACTAAATCCAAGCTACATGTTTCCAATACTACAGAAAGCAACAAAACTACTTTAAAGCAACAAAATATCTGCTGCAAACAAAATTGAAATAAAAAACTTCTGCTCCCATAGTCGCCATTTGTCGTCACTTTATGAACGGAAGGGGCTTATCATGTTTGTTTAAAAAAATTATTTTTACCTGTTTCTGAGGCGTTTTCCATGTCAATTTCTTGTCTATTGCTTTTTAAACACCTACTATTCACTTTAAAATATAATTTTGATATAACTTCTCTTTATTATTTTTATAAAATAATTTCTTTTCACTCAGAACAATTGCAACCGAATTGAATTCTATGGCTATTTTCTCCATAATAAAAATACTTCATGCTACAAAAGCCAGGGTAGGTATGTGTTGTGCGATTTTTTAAAATGTGCAAATGGGAGTAGATTTTGAATTTCACTACACATTTGGAAGGTTGGTTTGAGCGGAAATTTTATTTTTGTAAATAATTTCTGATGTTTTTATATGTATACAATTTTTTACTACTTAGTTAAATTGTATGTTAATAAGAAATAGAATCAGAAAATTATCAGAAAAGATAATGAATTAAATGAAAATTTAATATTATATATTTATATACATTAAACAAAAGAAAACTGAGGGAGCTATCGCGGTATCGACTAGTATAAAAATTTCCATAATAAGTTTCTCAAAATATTTATAACACAGTGAAGATGAAGGTGAAGGTAGAGCTTATAAAGTATATATGTACATATTTATTCTTATTCAACTCGACAAGTCGATCTAGTAACGTCCGTCCGTTGGTATGTCTGTATCAAATACTGTCTTACTTTAAATCGAAAAAATATATTCCACTATTGTCTCATTTATTTGAAAATGAGAATTGCAATAGCAACTGTATAGTAGTTGTGGTTGGACCCAAAGGCGTAGCTATGCAGTATATTAGTTATTTACCAATTAATACCTGTAAGCATATGATACATTTTTCTTTCCTCAAAAAAACACAAAAGAGGTGTGAGAAAGAAATAACTTATACTAAGGCTAAACAAATCTGGCAATACATAAATCCATCGCAAACAAGAAAACTAGTTCACTTCAATATGACTGAAATTGACAATATTATAGATCTTATAACAGGTAAACATGCAAAGAAATGGTAATCATAGAATTTTAACTGATAATGCTTGCGGTCTCTGCTGTGAAGAAGAGCAAGAGTTATCAAGCGCTCATCTACTGTGCTGATGTCCAGTCCTTGGTAATGAGCAGGGTTGAAATTCTTGAAAAACTGTGAAGAACCTGCACTTACACAAACTGATATCAAATGCCTTACAAAATACTTAAAGAAAATAAATTGAAGTGATTCAGGTGCCTCTTGATTCAGAAATACATTTATAATAAAGAAACTCTCTAGAAAATTAATCATTAAGACGACGATCAAATTAAAAGTAAGACCTTTGGGGTAACGTAACAGATCCATAGCCTAAGTCAGTAGTGTCTGTCCCAGGCTTATTCTTAAATCTTACTTAACCTATGAGATTAGTTCAATAAGTTACAGTACTTTATGAGTGAGGATACTACTTAAAACTGTGAATGAATTTTATTCATATCTGTTTAGAATAAATGTATGGTAAATTGATGCTTAAGATACATATTATATATAAAATTTTTTATTATTTTTGTTAACATATATTTATATCTGGTTTAAATATTGATTGTATTATTTATTTTATAAATTACAGTCGATTCAATTGGGCCGATTGGTAGAAGTTTAGACCTTTATCAAATACAAAGTCTTATATGGAAAACGATGAGTGATGAGTGCTCAAACTATAGCTCTACCCCCAAAAGATATACCCGATTTATTCCATTGTTCAATGTTATAAAGTAATTTGTGTCTACTTCAGAAACTATGTTGTATGTAAGTATCTCTCTTATTTGGAAGTATCAGCTTGTTTTTGAATTAATTGCAATGTTGAAATTACAATATCAAAGAAGACATTGCAGATATCTGTGTAAAGAGGTAATAGTTGTCGACTCGTAACCTCTTCTATAATGATGAATAGGGCAGCTATATGATTGATCTATTATACACACATTAAAAGTACATTTTTTTATTTACATTATTTATTTAAAAACAAAAATATTAATAGTAAAGTATAAAGCTGCTTTTTACATAAGTAATATGAATGGGTATTTATTAATATTAAAAGTATAGTACACTATTAAATACAAAGATCTTAAGGTGATGTTATAAATTACTACGAATCGGCAATTTTTTTGCAAATATAGATATTAAAAGACAGTTTAACTGTGCATAAAAGTTACAATATAATATTTGTTAACAAACTCAGCACCTGTATGCGATTTGAACAATTTCTATGTATACACAGATACTTAAAACGATTGAAGTTAATAAATATTTTCCACCTCCGATTGTATTACGCCCAACAACAGTAACTGAAGATAGATCGATTCTACTTTTATAAGCATTTAATTGTTATTAACGTCAAGATATGAATTTTTTTTATTACTGAGGATAGGTAAGTATATATAATATATATACATAAATACTGCAAAACCAACATAATGAGATGGAATGAATTAAAGCGGCATATAAAAAAATGGAAATTTGATAGAGCAAGATAAAACTATTCATATGAGAAAAAGTGCTGAGAGGAAGAGGAAAATATAAAAACTAACCCGCTTCAGGATAATTTTCACTATCAAATGAATAATTTGATAATACAGATCGATATATTAGAACTTTCACTGTGATGTAGCTTTATGCCATATTTTATTACTTCCTGAATTCTTAGTTGGTTTCAGTTTTAACAATGCATGAAAGTCATGGATAACATTTTCATCTTAAAGTTGAGCATTACCTTATCAGTTTCAAAAATTGTAGAAAAATGGATCATTGTGTGTGTGTGTGTGTGAACGGTTTTCTAAATAAAAATATTTCAATAACACATTTAAAAAAGTTAGTTGGATAAGAAGAAACCTGATGTAACGCTAACTCTAAGTTCCAGTTTCTTATATGAAAACGTATTAAAGTATTGTATCTATCTAATACTATGTACAACTTATACGTTGTAATAATTATTTTTATAAATAAACTAATTAGTATTTATTAAATTAAATGATTTAACATTTCAATAAAAATTGTTTAAAATGCCTTTGAAGGTGTAGTTTTCATGGATCATTTATGTGAACAATTTGTCCTTTGTTTTGGTAGAAATAAATAAATACAAATTTAGCTACGACTGCGAATTGTAGACACTAATTTGATTAGAGGAGGAGTTATTACAGTGTCCCTCGTGTGACCCAGACTGCTACACCACTGCCTACGTAGTGGTTATTACTTATACTAAATATGTAACCTCTTAACTACATTTTATTGTGTAGTTCAGATAGTGTTTAAGTATTACTAATCGCTGTACATTATTCAAGTCAATTGTATAATAAATAAACCAATAAATTAATTAAAATAACAATTAAGCTATGATCACATTGGGATTAAATCCCATAATGCAATAATTTGCATACTTAATTAGCATATGCTGGTAAAATTTGCGAATAATCTATATTTGATTCACAATAAATTTTATATTTTTATTGAACTATTTAATAAAAGTTAAGCATAACATATATCTTTAAAGTTATATGTATGTTTACTTTAATCAGCTCAATAATTATTTATTTTTACAAGTTTCTAAAATTTATGATATAATGTATTTATTAATAATACGGTAATAATTGTGAATGTACAAGTTATTGTGAATGATACCACTAATTGTTTCTGTTTTTCACTCCAACAGCAACAACGGAATGGAAAATGTTTTAGGAAAATTGTTTAATATTTATATTTAATTTATAAATGTAATATTTAAAAATCTTTGAAAGTATTTGAGTTGTTAAAAAACAGTTTGGCGTAGCCACATGTTTTTAGTTGGCTAAAATGGAACGCTTCGCTTTTAAAATTAACAAAGCCCTCAAAGAAAGTTTATATAAAATTTGTCGCCTCTGTGGAATCGATAATGATTTGGTAGATAAGGTTCCTATTCTAAATGAAGAAGTTGTGGTAAATATTGACGATGAGCCACAGTTAATAAAGAAAATTGAGGATTGCGTTGGATTTACGGTAAGCCCCTATGTAATTAAATTTGCAGAATAAATCAATTTACATGTGCAGATTACTAAGGATGATAAAATGCCACAAAATGTCTGTCGGATATGCTTGGATAAAATAAATGATTTTTACGAGTTTCGTGAAATGTGTTACGCTACAAATATACAAACCAGAAAGCTTTTGGGTCTAAAGAGTCTGGATCCTAAGAAGGTATGTGTATGGTAATGTTTCAAATGCAAACTAAAGTTAAATATTTCACAGGCAGTGGCAAAACCGTTAATCGAAATCAAGCCTGAAGTTGACGTAAAGATTGAAGTGAAAGAGTGCAGTCCAGTTTCAAAACGTCCTCGGAAACGTAAAACGGATGATCCTACACCCAAAGTTAAGCTGGAAGATGATAAGGAAATTAAAACTGAAAAACAAGGCAATTTAAATACTAGTAGTAGTATCCCAAGTCGGAAGAAATTGCGTTTGGGTGAATCTTCGACACAAAAAAAGCAGAAACCCTTGCCAGAAACGAAACTGACTCCTAAAGTGGAAATGTAAGGTGGACTATAAATATTCATATAAATACCTTTATATAAATTATTTTTATTTGTAAACTTTTAGAAATAATGAGCCATCTCAGATTTTATTAGGTGCTTTAAAGTTAAAACATTTATGCCTAATATGTGATCAGCGGTTTAGTAACAAAGTAAAATTGGATCGACATTTAGAGGTTGATCATATACCCAACATCTTGCGCTTCGTTTGTACTACTTGCAATGAAATAATAAACAAATCAAACGACATTAAAAACCATCAACTCTGGCATAAATTATCGAAGACACCATATGAATGCGCACTTTGTAACGAAAAATGCATAAGTATATATGCATATTCAAGGTAAAATTATTTTAATTTCAATTTAATAAGAGATTATTTACCTACATATCACTATATTACAAATAGACACTTACGGTTACACTGCTGTGAAATATATACCCCAAATTATGTGCTTGATAGACAATGTCCTCAGTGCAAAGAAACATTTGTGACAAACTTTTTATATAATATACACAAATGCGCCTTACGTACAAAGAAGTGTGCAGGTTGTAATCGGATACAACGCACTGAAACAGATTATCTGAGGCATTCTGCGATTTGCTCAAAAACTTATTTAAATTATTCAAAACATATTCCCGCCGCTATTGCCGCTGAAGCAAACGTTTGGATTAAAAACGAAAATGATGTTGAAGATGCACCTAACGAACAGGCATCAAAAGCAACAAATGCTTGTAGTATGGCCTCAGATATGACCCCAATAGTTTCTCTTACACGTATACCCACACCTTTACTAATGTCAGCAAATCAATGTGTTGCTATACCTAACACTAGTGCTGAAGATAGTGAACTCACTCCACAACCAAGTCCATTAAAACATGTTAAAAAGAACACCAAAAAAGGAGTTTTAAAACGAGATCTTAAGAGAGTAGATGATCTCCTTAAGTCAACAATAGATACCTTTGTTAGTATAAAACATGAACCGGAAGTGCATGTTGATACCGACGCTGATAATGTGACACCGTTAATTATTGAGCAAAACGACACCGAACCCGAGGATAATAATTTTGTTAATGATGATAATGATTTTCAAAATGATGATGATGATGATGATTATGTCAATAATGATCTGCCAAATATACTTGAAAATATGCAGCACACATTGCCTGTGAAGCAAGAAAAAATTGATGAATCATATAACGATACCAATGTAGAAATGAGAATTAAAAAAGAAAACGTGGATAATAATGAAGCAGTAACAACTGCTGAAAAAGTACCAGTTCTAAAAATAAAAATTAAAAAGGAACACGGCACACTTAATTCATCATTAGTCGATGAATGTCCAATAGAAAAGAAGAAAAAGAAGAAGAAACGTAAAGAAGATAAAGAACGAACCAAAATGGTAAATAAACTGTATTTTATAATATGGTTGAAGAAAATATATATGTATATCAATTTTTATTTCTTCAACTGTTTAAAAAATATTGAACTTATATGAATCTTTGTTATTTATGTAATATTCTAGGTTGAAAAAACTCAAAATCTTGTGGAAGCAGCTAACACTCAAACAAATTTGAACACGGAACAACCAACCGCAACAGTTATAGACTTCAATGCTATACGTATCAAGCAAGAGCATGTTGAGGAACCAGAAGAAACTAGAATACACAATGCTAGTAACGATGGCAATACACATCCTGAGGCTACAATAATGACCTCTATACCACTTCTACAGTTTCAGATTTCTTGTGTATCAAGCGGAGTTGAGTTTAACAAAGATATTAATGCCGACACTGCTTTTAATACCGCAACACAATCGCAAGCAAGCGTTAGTGCTAATATTCAAGAGGAATTGAGGGATATAAAGCCAACTCAACAAGACTTAGATCGAATGCTACAAATAATGAATGTTAGCAGCGGCATACAGATGCCAGATGATGAAAATATAAATGAACCCTCAAACACTAAAGAAGCTAATGAGAAATCTCCAAATCTCAAAAATCGTAATAGAATCTCGCAAGAGAATAAACTGAGAGCACCGGCTAAAAGTGACAAATCCAAAAAAATTAGAGCACCTCATAAAACCTCCAATATGGAGCAAAGTAAAGAATCGCAACAAACTACAGTTTCTATGAATTCACTGCCATATAGAAATTTGCCTTTAAATATTGTAATAAAACCTGAACCATGTAATCGTGGCTATAGTGATGAGATTCCCAGTGATGATACTACAGAAAGCGATATTACAAACGCTTTAAATATAAATCAATCAAGTAATGAAATGGAAACATTTGATTCTAATGAAATAAATGCAACAAATGCTTTAAAAGAAAATCAAGTAAATGATGAAATGAATACATTGGATAGTAATGAAACAAATGCTTTACATATAAATCAACAAAGTGATGAAATGGAAACTTTCAATAGTACTTTAGTTAACGACGTCAATGCTGGTAGTGTAAATCAACAAAAATATGAAATGGAATTATTTGATAATAATGAAACCACAAAAATATCACCACCACAGAATACTAAAATCACTTCAAAAGAAGCAGAAGAAGCAGCTTATATTAAATCCATTGATTTTTCCAATATACAAATTAAGCAAGAAAAAGATATTGATATTATAGATGAACATGTCGATAGTACCACTAAAAAAGTGTCTGTGAATAAGAATCTCAGAAATAAATTGAAATTGAATTCAACTCGTGATTTTTCCGCAGAAGACAACCAAGACTTCGAGAGCAGTAGTGAAGAGGAAGATAGCAGCAGCGACAGTGACTATGATATGTCAGATGAAGAACAACGAGAATATCGCGAAATGGAATTACCACCACCGCTAATGTCAGAAAATCAAAAGATGAACGAAAACAGCGATACCGATATAATAAATAATAAATCTAATATAAGTGTAGACATAAATACGAAAAATGTTACAAATATATCCGCTTCAAATATGGAGGATCAAATTAGCATTGAACAAAATGCTGGTCCTTCACAGCTCATAACAGAAACGACAGAAGCTCACACAGAAATTGGTAGCGATAACACATTAAATATTCAAGCTGATTTCTTAGAGCCCACAAATCTTCAAGAGGGTACATATAGTTTAACTTCAACGCAGCAAAATGAAATTTATGATAAACAAAGTAAAGAAACTATACCGTTGTTAAAAGAAAGCCAGGAGCAATCAAAAGAAGTTGGGTGCGTGGATGAATGTAATGAGCAAATTGATTTATATACATCCAGATATGCAGAACATACTGTCACTGAGTCTAGTATATCAACACCACCCGAAGCGTGCATTGAACAAAATATAGACAAAATGCCACTACTAATTGCAGAAAGTCGGGAACTTCAAACACAAAAGTGCAGTGATACTGTATTAAATATTCAATCTGGTTTGTGTGACGAAACAAATCAAATGAGTACATCAGATGAGAAGTGTCGTAAGGAAATTGCTAAAGAGGAGTATAAAGATGAAATTGCTAGGGACGCTATGTTAAGTGTTGAAACTGATTTGAGTACAGCCACACACTTACAAGATGCGAACGAAGAGTTGATGTCGACTACCGCACATGAAATGGATTATAAATCTAGTACAGAAAATCCATTTTTAATAACATCTGTTTACAGTCAAGCCGGAGATAATATATCTAATTGCTTACTGCCTGTTGGATCAAATGAAAATGGTATAGATAGTCACACTCCTGCCGATTCGAATCAACAGCAAGATTTTAGTTTAAAGATTAGTGCTATTGCATCCGGTTGTGCTGGTTTATCATTTGAATCGACTGCTGAAGTAGCTGCAAGTGAATCAGTTACATTAGAAGACGAAGTGCATGAAGAGCAACATGATACATCAATCCCTCATGTGCAAGCGTTGTGTGATTCAATATTAAATAATGAGATGAATGAAAATATAAGTACAATAGACACAGATAATACGAAATGTGATGTTGGGAAGTCTGTAACAATAGAAGGTGAGGTGTCTGAAGATAAAATTGTTACATTACAAGCACAACCTTATGATTTACCAGTAAATACTGCAATTGTTGAAAATTCTACAGATATTATGGACAGCAATATCGAGGAAGCTCAAAATTTATTAAATCAAGCACGATTAGACGGACTTGCAAATGTAACTAATTCGGGCAATGCAGAAGTTTTTACTGAAAACATCACTGATATATTACCTTCCAGTAGCGTTAATTCCTTAACTTATTTATCAACAATTAGTTCTGAACCTCTTTTAGCAGTTAACACAAGAAATGAAGAGACTGAAAATATCATAAATGCGAATAGAGAATTGGAAGATCAACAGCAGCAATTGTTCCATAACAACAGTGACAGCAACAATAGAAACATAAATAGATTATTACTTGATAACAGCAATATAAATGAAATTGCCGAAAACAATAATAATGCTAATATTGAACGAGAAATACAATATGATAACGTTATAGAAAATGTTCAGCAACAGATTGCTGAAGATAATGTACCATATATAGCAGAACATGACGTTACATAGACATAGTTGAAATTATTTAAGTATGTGAAGGCTAGGTATAAAACATGATATATCTGATTAAGAATTATTCCAAATATTATGCAGGATGCTTGACATCAAAGTGAATTTATCTAATGGATGTGCTTTCTTCGTTCAAGAAATGAAAAAATTTGTATGAGAAGATTCGTTCGACTTTAAGTATTACTCGCATAGAGTGGTGTTAAGGCACACTCAAGGGTTTAAACATCCTGAGTCTAAAGAATCTCAATGTCATTAATATTTTTAATACTACTGTAGTTACAGACCTTTTCATTAGAAAGATCATCCAGCAAAAACAAATTACAAACTAAAAAAAGCTAAAATCGCTTTTAATATGTATTTTGTTTTAGCATCATTGTTCAAAAAAAATCAGAGACATATGGAACATTTAGAAAAGCGTTCTCTTTTACTTGTTGGATGTATATACTATTAAATGAAAGATTCATAAAATCAAATTTTAAAAAATTATCGGCTACAAATATAATTTTTGGGGTCTACAGTTTTTTAAAACCGCAATTTTTCTAAAGGTTACAAACTGAATAAATTTGCTCCTACCAGGCGATTGTCAAAGGGATTTACGCAGAATTACATGTACTGCTTTATGATGTTGACAATCTAATATTAAGATTGAAAAATATCCGCTTCTAATACTAAAATGGAACCGCACTTCTTTAATTCATTAAATTTTTCGCTTCTTGATGGTAAGGAATTACCTCTCATTCGTAACACACTTTATTCGAACGAAGACATCCTATATGTATGACTATATAATTAAAAAAAACAATATATAATAATTTCTGCAATATACATATATATATGTATGCTCATAAAGAAGTCATCATCATAAATTATGCTTATGGCTTATTATATATTTGTACACATTATTTGCATATAAACTAATAAAATGATTTATTTTAAAGGATAATTTTAAAAATTATCATTAAAACGCAACGATATGTCGGTACAATTTCACACTTTTTATGAATGACCTAATTATTTTCTATATAACAAATATATATAATACATAATACTAAATAATCCATCTAATTACTGCAAAATTTAAAATTGTTTTGACCTTGGTTATCAGTATAAATAATTATATAAGCTTCTAATTTTATACTGTTAAATTTAAAAGAATTGTTTAAATTGCAATGCATTTGCATTTATAAAAAAAAAATTAAACATATTGTTAATTTTTCGAAATTAAATAAAAATATTAATATGTAATACTAATATGTATTTTTAGATTCAATTATAATTTTTATTAATATAATAACTTTTATAAACTGTAAATATTAAGAAATAAAAAATTGAATTAATTATATACATATATATATATGTAATATCTATGTGTATGTATAGATTTCAATTCCTCACCTTACACATCTTTAAGTTAAACAAAAAATTTAAATTATTTGCAACACCTAAATTGTTTAAGTTGAATATTTTAATAATTTCGCAGTAATATTAAAAATAAGCTAATTTATTTTAATTAAATTTAATGAAATATACCATAAGGAATTATAAATAACATATAAATAGTTTTATAATGCATAGTATTTTGTAACAAACGAATAAATAGATGAGCATTATTGATTTGGGTATTGTGTATATATTCATATGCATATTATATTGTCGAATCTTATTAAACATTATTAATATTTACAACAAAAATAATTATGAATTTTTATATAATTTTGATACAACAGTTTTATTTTTTAAATTATATTAATAATTTAGCAGTAAATAATTTTTAATGTTTTATAAAAATTAAATTTGCTTTAAATGATTAAATTGTAAAATTGATTGTAAAATTATAATTTGAATATAGTTTTTATTTTTAAATAAATTTTGTTATATGTTAATTTAGAAAAAAAAATTAAAATATTAAATTTAAAGTAGTATTAATAAAAAATGTATGATTTAAGTAATGCATGAATCAAAAAGAAATTTATAAATAAAAACATATTAAAAAAATTTAATTTAAATTATAATATAAAAAAAAAGTTCTAAGAAAATAGAATTTAACATTATTTCAATAATTAAGGAAAGTACATCGTCATTTCTTTTATTTATAAAAATGCATTTGTTTAATGAGAATATATAAGATATTCTAATATATCACAATAAATAAATACGTAATTATATATATCCAGTGGCTATAAAATGTTTTATATATAATTTGAAATATAGATATATGGTAAAACTGAAAAGTTGTGTTGTTTTTGAATTTCATTAAATTTAACCAGTTTTATTGCTGAAACAGTATTTTATTTAATAAATTAATATCTTATAAAATCTTAAATTTAATTTTTGTAAAACAGGGGATAACAAAAATGCTAGATTTGGCTTTTTTTACAGTAGGTGGAAAACATTGGAAGCCACAGCGTGAGACTTGAACCCACTACAATCAGCTCTTAGGAATGAATGGAGAAGATTTCCACAGCAATATAAAAACTTCATTCCAGGAATCAGGGGAGAGAGATGAGAGCAGATAGGCTTAAACTTAGCGGGCTAGGTTCATCTAAGCCAGAAAGCATGGGCGTAATTAAGGAGATAAGGTGTTTTTTTAACGGAGTGGGGTTATAGTGCAAGCACAGAGGTAAGATTAGAGGTAAAATCTGTGACTAGGGTTCGAAAGCCGCGGTTACACAAGGGGATAGCGTGGTTTGAAACGTAAGGCTTAAATGAGTTCATCAGGCAGGGTTTTCCGAATGGAAACGACAAGGGAGAGATCGTGAAACCGGGTGAGGTACCTATGGGCGAGTGACAAATGGTACTCGACAACACGAGTGATCTTGGCATTGTCATAAAGGGCAGAGATGGGACAATCTCGAAGAAACCTCAGCTCAAATAGGCGGAAGAGATTGCAGGCCAAATGGGGAATGCGGTGGTGAGTAGTGAGCGACTGTTTAACTTTGTAGTTAAAATGTCTTATTGAAATTTGGTTTCATGGAATCTTTAACTTTAACAAAGCATGTTTATTGGGAAAAATACACATATGTTATTTCTAATTTAAAGTTTATGAGATTAGTCTATCAATTAAGAGACGTCAATTGTTTTCGTTAAACTTTTAGAATATGTTGGCATTGGAAAATCTTATCTTAAATAGTATTCGATTAAAATTACAAATGAATCTGGGAACAATTTCTTATTTATTTCTTAATAATAATAATTTCTTATTACTGCTCCACTTATAACTCACTTTTTATTTCTTTAAATTTATCTACGCTAAATATATGTATTATATATATTTAAACAATATTTTTAATTTATTATCGAATTATTATATATTGTCGAGGTAAGTAATGAGTGATAGGTATAGTTTTATTGATCTGATTAAATAAAAATAGATAAATAATGCATTAAAGTTAACTCAAACAGATAACTCAAAGAGATTACTCAAAGAGATAATGAGAAACCGATATATATTCTGTTATAATTAGATTAAATGACAGAAATAAAAATAAATAAAATTAAAAAGAAATATTTTATGAAGTGTATGCGAGGCGTGTCTAGTCTAATTTAAACAAATTCAAATCCTGACATTTGCATCCAAAAATTATGTGATGACTATTAAACATTCACATATTTCCAAAACCAGTGATCATCAATATTCAAAACAGCTCTATGATTAGACCGATAATTTACTTAATTTACTTAGATTGAAAATATTTTATTATTCAAAAATATCTTCACTATGAAACCTTGACATTCGGAACTAGATTATTTTTATTGCAAAAATAAATTAATAATAAAATTTTATTTAAATATTAAAAATATATTTAAATATCCAATAATGGGATATAGAATTGTATATAAATCCCGATCATTAAAATTTAATTAATGGACACAAAATAGTTTTTATTCTTTAACATTATATTTTTTAATTTATTAGATAAATTTATTAATTAATAAAGATTACAATTATTTGGAATTTTTAATCATATATACAATGTATATATTAGTTATAGAAATTAATAATTAACATATTCGTATCTATGTTATGTTATATTTATAAATATATTAAACGGTTTCGAAGGTTTACATTAATTTATTAATTTTTTTGTACATATATTATAAATAATTATAATTAATGTATCTGACTAAAATTTTGCATTAAATGCATATTTCTTAAATTAAATAAAAAAAATTAGAAAACTTTTGAATTAAAAGAATTTCAAATATGTATTAATTTTCACTCAATAATGAATCATTAAAATAATTTTATAAAAGCATATCACGTTAAAATCATACTTTAAAACAAAACTTGCACCTTAGTTATAATATTTTAAATGATATATAGATTATTGAATTATGAACAGACTCCTTTAATGCAATAATTATAATTATAATAATATTAATTATTAAAATGACGTCAACATTTACCCATTACACGTTGTTAGCATTATAAAATTTATTAAAATATTTTTATAAGACAAAATGATTATTCAATGTAGATAAATTTAAAAAAAATTTCCAAAGCTGGAATTGCTGATATTTAGATTGTATGTGATGTATTGTAAAGCTGTTATGGCCTTCAGTATTTAAGAAAATTTATAATTTTCAAAACAAATTTTATTAGGTATCGATTTATTAAACATAACATTTGTCATGGAAAGTATAGTATATAATATTTTGAATGTTTATTAAACAGTAATAAATTATATTGAACTTATTGAGAGCTTGCTTAGATATCGAAATTACATGTGTTTATATTTTTTGTTTTTGACTATTGCTAAATCATATAGTTATATACAAACTAGGTTCAATATATTGTTTTGGTAATACATATATTATATTTTACTTTATATTACAGTTTTATTTAATTTTAGTATGTTATTCATAAAATTGTTAAATAAAATAAATTGTTTCTCTATGCAGACTTTTCAAGAAAATAATAGGTAGGTACAATTTCAACATAGTGAAAAAGTTATTATTTCCTTCAAATATATAAGTTTCCAGCTAATATTATTATTTTGTCATATATATATTTTAAAATTTAAATAAAATTTAGTTATATCCAGTTGGTGACATAATTAAACTACTATTATAAAAAAATTTTAATATTTTTTTTTGGCACAACTTTAATATATTTTTTATTTATATAATATTTCTTATTTAATTTTTTTTATTATATTACTTAAAATTACATATAAAATTTATAACATTCTAAATGTTTAATTCAAATAATTTTGTTGAGCAGGATATGCAATAAAATATTAAATTGATTTACTTATGTTATTCAAAATTACATGAACTATTATAAAATACGCAAAATTAGAATATATTAAAAATAAATTATTGTACATTTCTATTATGTAACGATTCTTCAAAAGATTTTAAAAAATGTTTCCAATATTAATTATATATATTATTATACTAATAAAAATGATTTTATTTTTGAAAAATTTCGGTGCAGTTAAAAATTAAAAAAATAATTTTCAGATTAAATCAGAATAACATTTTATAATAGTCTTAATAAAGTTATGATCTTAAAAAAAATAAAATTGATTACTGACTTGATATAAATTAAAACTTTGCAGGGAAAAATTCAAAGGCAGCAAAACTATGACATAATTTATAAAAAATTTTTAATTAAAATCCCTAAATAGTATTTAAGTATAAACAAAATAAACGTAATATGTAAAAGTAGCTTTAGAGAAAAATTAATGGGCAGCAAAATTGTAAACAATTATTATTTAAAATATCTTTAAACAAAATAAATTATAAATAATGTAAATACTGAAGAAATGTTAAAATATTCTTCAAATTTTAGTAATTAAAGTAATTAAACTACTTAAGTAAATTATAAATTTATAAAATTGTGAGTTGACACTTTTCTTTAAAGAACGTTAGTTCTTTATGAACACTCTAATTTTGACTATTAAGACATTGCAACGAATTTAAATTCAAAACCTAAATATTTTCATTAATTTTATAAACTGTAACTCTTGTTCAGTTTTGTATATAGTAATCTCGTTTTTAATTTTAAAAATATTTTATTTACTATTTTTCAATAGTAAATACCTATTTTATGTTGGAGGATATTAATTGATCACCGTTAAACGATAATCATTGCAACCTTGCAACAAACGTAATATTGTTTTTCTGCAATAAAAAAAGAATAACTTTTTACCATGTAATGCTATGTAAAGCTTAGTATAAATGACAGTGTTATGCTTAAAATTAATATAAAAAAGTAAAACAAAAAATATTAACTGCACTGGTTGACATTTGTAATTAATAATTATTTAGTTAGTAATAATTAAAGAATTTATAGAACTGCACTAAGTAGTATTATTTAAATTATTTTAAAATAATTTACTTTAATATATAAATTAAAAATATTTTCTTTTACATATATATATAATGCAGTTGCAATATAATTTATGAATTAAAATAAGTATGGAAGAAGACAATAGTTGCTTGTTTTATTTTCATGCTTTGGCTTAATCATCCCATTCGTCATCATTGCCCGAAGATGCACTTTCATCATCGGACGATTGTATAACTCGTCCTCGTTCTTGTAACGCACGTCGCAACGCATCAGCTAATGCATCTGTGCCGGCACCATCATCACTGCTACGATTAACGCCTAGTTCGCGATTTTGCGCTGGTCGAAGTTCAATACCCATGCGTATCTCCGACATAAGATCGCTACGTGAATCACCGCTACCAGTACTAAGTGCAGAAGTATCCACTTTCTATATTAAAAGAATAATTAAAAATACATAATAAAAAAAATTATAAATGTATGAAATCATTATATCTTACTTTAAGTGTTGTGCCTTTTCTTATGCTCTCCATTAAAGCATTTCGTGTATCATTGACCACTGGTACATTAGAAGCCGATGATTTTGTTTCATTTGGAGCATGTGTTGTGGTAATTGTAGGTGGCACTAATGAAGGAATTGGCGGAGGTGGTGGTGGCATAGCTGCTGGTGGAGGTGGTGGCGGCGGCGGAGGCTAAAATAATAATTAAATTGTTTTTATTACATGACAGTTAATAAGTTATAAAATAAAATCCACACAATAACCTGTAGATTTAGGAATAAGGAGAACAATTAAAAATTTGCTGAATATCAGCTAAATAAAGTTTTAGCATGGGCCACAGTGATATAAAGATTTATTAATTTAAAAAGTTGTGTATTATTTAGAATTAAGTAATTAGCCCGTTCAAAAATATACTTATAAAATTATTAATAACACTATAATTTATATATAATATTAAAAATAACGTAGAGCATATATACTTACAGCAACAGCTGGCGCACTAATTGTTGGTGGTGCCGGTGGTGGTGCTGGTATATTAATGGGTGGTGGTCTTGTTGGTGGCGCTGGTTGCCTTGCTGAGCCAGGTACAGTTGTTGGCACAGGAGGAGGTGGTTGCCGTGCTGGAGGTGGCGGCGGTGCTGTTCTTTGGTTTGGTGCATTACCGTTTTGATTCTAAAATATTATTAAATGAAATAATAAAAAATTTTGTAATAACATATGTTGTATTATATTTACATGATGATGACGAGTTGGTACTGGTGGTGGTGCAACTGCTGCTACGGGCTTGGGGTCTTCAAAACGTTCCGATTGAACAGAAGCTAACACATTATTGCTTTCTACGAAATCATAAATAAATTGACGTGTTGCACGATCTTCCAATTCACTTTCAGAAACACCAGCCTTTGCAAAAAAGGTTTTAAGCATTTCATCATTGCCACCACCTTGATAATCAAATCCTTTATCTGCATCCCAACCAACATGAGTTACATGCCTAAAGTTTGTAGGTGTGCTAATGTCTGCTTTGGTAACTTTACGTTTTTTATCTTTGCTAGAAGTTGACGATAAGCCAACACCAGCTGTAAGAAAATTTTTTGGTGGTGGCATTGCTGGTGTTGGTGTTATTGTAACGGTACCCAGTTTTGGATGATTTCTTAATTGTACACTTGAATCAGTCATTGTGTGGCTCATGGGTTGTCTAGATGAGATATCCACACCAGGTGGAGCGTTTGGAGCGTTTTGTGATTTTGGTCGACTTCGTTTCTCTAAAATTTTACAGTAGTGGTGATTATTATAGTACAAAGTATGTTGTAATATATCTTACCTAATTTTTTTCGATTTCTATTTTCTATCATAGTATCTACTGCTCTATAAAATGAATCGCATTCATCTTCCGACACAAAATTTAAGCCAATATGTCCATCCTAAACGAATAATGAACATAAAAGAATAGTTTTTAATGTTAATTTTTTCTTGCCGAGAGTGACGAAAAGAAACTATTTAAAAGTTAGACAGATTCGAATAACAAAGAAAAGACAAGGACAAAAATTTATTTAATTTATTGAAATTTGACTGATCATACAACGTTGTTTCGAGTATTGCCAAGTACTCATCATAATTTGTTTGGATTGCAAGTGCCAGGCTTGAATTTGTCCATGTCTTTTCTTTGCTATTCGAATCCGTATAAACGAATAGTTTTTATTATTTTCATGGAATTTTTTATAATTTGTTGTTAATTGTTAAATTGTTGAATAATATACTTTTTTAAAAAATCAGTTTTAAAAAAAAATTTTTTACTCCAACATTTCGACTATATTTTATAGCCATCTTCAGTGTACTCTGACTCTTCAGTACTTTGAAGATGATTATAGAATATTGTTACTTACGTATAGTATATAGTGTTTTTAAAAACTAATTTTTTAAAAAGTGTTTTATTTAATAATTAATTAATTGAGTTAATTAATCCAACTCAAAAACAATATATTAAGTGGAATTATTAGTAAAACCAAGTGTTACTTACGTGTCCTTCGAAAGTCAATAGGAATGGGCGTGCCTTTATTATTTTCATGCCATCATAGATTTTATGTTCCCAAATCAGTTCTTCTTTCATCAGACAATAAGCACGCAGGAAGTATGAACGTATAGCATTGTCCTTAATAAAGCACACAATGCCGGTATGCTTCTTTTTCCAGTGTGAATGTGCGGAGCCTTCAGTTTTAAATATTTGCACTACAGCTGTATTTAAGGACTGTAAGAAAATGAAATTATTTATTAATGATGTTATTACACACAAATTAATTAATTAAATTTAAATGAATTAATATCCTTCATTAGTCCCAACCTTAACCGTCATTTAAACATAAAAGTGATTTGTTAGTTGCGATAAGAAATAACTTGGATTTAACAACTTGTGCTCCTCACTAACGCACAATAGCGTCTAAAGCACATTGACCACTTTCGTTTTCGTTTGTCTAAATGAGTTGACAGAGCTAAGCAACAGAGCTAAGTACCATAAGTAAATGTTAGCGTCTATTTTTACTGACAAAAGTCGCTTATTTGAATACAAATTACAGTGCGTGGCACTTTATTAAAGCAATAAATAGATATACAAATAATCTTGACTCTAAGCAAAGTTGAAGTCGTTGCCATTGCAACTTACTTTTGCACTAAACAAAACGTCGTTTGCATTGCGTGCACGTTTAGCTGAGCAGATATCAGCGTGTCGCCAATAGCGAATGCAGAGTCTATACTACTACGTATGTTATTACCGAAGTCGGATTACGATTGCAGCAAACTCTTGTCTATTTGATCACTGAGATTTATGTAATGTTTTGCTTTTCTTTTTGGCTACTATTTTAGTTACAAAATTTGAATATTTTTGTCATAATATTGCAGCAGTGAAAGGAAATGCAAGAAATGTTTATGTTTAGGCCAGAAAATTTTGAAAAGGCACACAAAGTCGTTAGAGTAAAGAAGTCTGACTTAATGCCTAGGTATAGCCAATAACTAGTTGTTAAGTATAAATGATTTATATATTATTTTACCTTCACATAATTGTGCATAAAGGGTATATTAGGTTTGTCAAAACGTTTGTAACATAATACGGTGAACAAGATGAATGTAAATTAAGAGTTTTTAATCAGCATGACTAGTCGTATCGATCTTATTATAACTATTTGACAATATATCGAAAATTTACAACTCTACTAGTTGTAAAGTTAAATAAATTAATTTTATATGGGAGATAGTTATTTGCAAATTCACGCAGATAAAATGTAAATATAAATAAAATTGGTTGACTATATTATACAGTGTCCCTACAAAACTAATTTCTAAAAGATATAGAATTTCTATTCAACAATTTGAATAAAATGAGGTTTATAGGCTAAACCGTTTTCAAAGGCAATTGAAAAATAATTGATTTGTAATAATATAATATCTATTATATTATGAAAATTAGAATATCTGAAATGCAATTAATTAAACTCTTAACTAACTCTGAAGAAAGTTGTCTTTCCATTTAAAGATTGGTAATAAAGAACTACACATCCATTTAAAAGATCCAGCAAAACCATTGATGACAGGTAAAACTTAGTTTTAAATCAATTTTATACATAACTAACAAATAGACCTAACCAGCATACATCGAAAATATTTTAACAAATGATCTAGATATATTATATTACATATAATAAAGCATATAAAAGTACTATGGTATTCTGAGGCCCGGCGCATATTGGCGGAGAAAAAAGCGCGTGTGCACTCTGCCTCCTGGCCACTGCTTAATATGATCTAATGTATCGTATGATAAAACGGTTCCAGCGTAGTTGGTATACGCTGCTTCTTATGATCTTATACATCTTATGCATTATGTAATTTAAATAATTTTTCGTTACTTAAAAAAATATAAAAAAAGGTTTTAAAAGGGATATAAAAAGAAAACATATTGATCTTCTTTTTTTTTTGCAATCAAAGATGTTTTGTATCACCCTTTCTACCATTTATTGTTTTGATTTGGTGGACAATACAAATCACAAATTTTAAACCAACGGTGTATTTTTTAATTGATAACGAATTCTTCCAAAAGAAAAAAGATTTTCGAATCCGTTTCAGTTTTTCAATATAGCCATATTTAACACGAGCTATAGCTTTGATTCGTTTAACAAATGAGACACATTGTGCATAACTTTAAATCTATGGAATGTGTATCCATTGCTCAGCTTTTTGGAACACAGCAACACTCTAGTATTTTTTAGTACCTAGGTTTGGACAGTAAATGGCTTTTATAGAGAAAATAAGCGTATTTTGTAGTAATAAAATCTGGGATACTGTCTTTTAGCCATTGTTGGTGAAATATCTCAACATATTCTAACCAAACTATTTGATTGGTCACGGTTTTAGATCCTTATCCAATTTTTTTTCGTTGTATATAATCGTAGTGGCGCTATCCAAAAATTCTGTGAAAGAACAATTATCGATTGTCACGAGCACCCAAACTATACTTAAGGGTGGTGCATGATTTCTTAAAATGATTTTTGTAAGAAATCAGTAACTTCCCTCGTCAGAGAAGACAATATTTTGTAATTAGTTGCTTTGTTAGTTTGTAGTAGTAAGATTACAACAACAAAATCTAAAGTCTAAGAACACAAATATTCTGGTACAGTGGTTGAACTAAGACTGATGTCTTTTTCTTTTATAGAGAATAAATATATCATAAATCAGAAAACATTAAAAAATAAAGAAGAAATGCTATAAGGAACTTTATTTTATCGCGAGCTAAGAATATTTATATTTTATTACAGTTGCTAAAACAGCTGGCGTCAGGTCTGTAAATTAGTATTTAGTACTGCAGAGAAAAAAAATTTGGAACGTGTTTTGCAAGGTCCAGTAACAATATTTTAGAAATAAATATATTGTAAAAGATGAAAATAAAATATTTTACGGTACTGCTATTAACATGGACCTTCAACAGTCCGTACCCCGGTGGTTGACAAATGGTGTTGTATATACTATAAGAGATATGCCGTAATTGCAGCAATCGAATAGAATTTATTTCATGTTCTCAGCATATTAGGAATAGTTCGATTGTAATTTACTTAAAAAATTGCCAATAATTTTCTAGAGTGCAAGCAAAAAAACTAAAATTTATTTCATTGCCAAAATATTTGTGGCTTAAGATCTTAGACAAAAATATTGATTACTCCAAATCAGGTTAAATGTGTCGCCAACATTTGCAGTATTCGGAGGAACTGTGTACTGGTAAATAATTTAAAAAGCCTATTAAGAACTTTTAAGTATTTGTGAATGCAGTTAAATTTTTTATGTTTTTGAAGTATAAAAATTATAATGTTAAGGCGTTTTATTTTACAATTCGAATTTATTTTTTATTTATAAATAAAATGCAGGCACAGGTCGTTCTTAAATTTTTGCTGTTAAGACAACAAATAATACTAACAAAGTATTGTGATGGTATGTGAGTTAAGCGATTTAAATTTAGATACATTTTTTTGTTTTAACGTACAAATAATTTATGCAATATTTAAATTAATTTGATTTATTATTAATCAAATGACGTCATCTAGTATTTAATGTGTGCAAATTGTAAAAAGAAATAGTAAAAATGCTAATATTTATTTGAAGAATGTACAAAGATAAGTAATATTGTTTAGTTTCAATATATACGAATTGATATTTTTATCAGTATTTATATTAAACTTAGATAACATATATGGATAGATATGGAAATATAGACAAATTTGTCTTATAAAATAGTTTTATGAACTTTTAATCATTTTTCTGTTGCGTGATATCATTTAATACACACAACTATTAATTAATATATACAGGGTTATCAATATTACGGTTCTAAAAATATGTATATATAAATAAAACATAATGTAATAAAGATTTTGATCAAATTATTATTTCAATATTTTGTTTTGACCATGTCAATATGTGTGAAATACAACATCATTCGAGTGTTCCGTCTTCTACGAGAAATCATACAGTTCCAGATATTTTTAAGACAATTTTTAGTAACTTGTCCGCACACAGTTGGCAATACTTCGGTCAGAATTTGATGGATGTTCGGTTTTAAAGCGTAAAAAATGTTCAGAGTGACCACAGAAAAATGATATTTTGCGTACTCCTCCCACAAAGTTTAGTAGTGACATATCACATGTTCTTAGTGCTCAATTCACATAAACGAATCATAACATTACACATATTCGGGAAATATCTCACATAAAGAAATCAAAACAGAATGTGTTGTTTAGGTTTTGGCACCTTATATTTGAAATCACATAGCTGTCAAAATCATATATACAATCTCACGCCAAAAAAGATGGTAATCATGCGTCTGTACCAATTAGATTATAGTAAATGACGGTTTGTATTACAACTTAACAATTTTAAAATAATATCACAAGACTAGATCAAATATCGCACTAGGTAGTAACTTTTTCGGGATGTTATGATTTTCTAGTAGTTTCCTTTGAATTTTTACTGCATCGGTTATGATAATTTTGTTTGTTGACATATCCATCAAGCTGAAATAAATCACATCACTGAAACAAATTTGTCACCAGCTTAGTAGTTAATTTTCACAATTTGAACACATTTAACGGTTAGTAAACGATCCGTATTAAAAAATGGCGTACATAAAACTAAACTAAACTAAAGTAAAAACTAAACAGATGATGTCTTTAGTGACAGGATTCTGTTTCATCCTGTGACTGTGTCACTGAACGAGATCAGTGAAATGAGAACCATGATATAGACAAGACTTTTTAAAAGTTGATATTAAGACTTTCGTAGCATTAAATCTGCAAACCTAAAGCACCAAACCAAAATATACATTTTTTAGCAAAAATGGGTTTAATAAGCAATCTTTTTTAGCTATAAGAAATTAATTCAAATTAAAACTCTTAATAATCTATATAAAGAAATAACTGCACATTCAATATTAAGCCGAACTTAAATGTATACTTTTCACTTAAAACAATTTGCAACTTTTAATCGAATTGGCGCACGCTTTAGATATATTAAAATACATTTCACTTCTTATTAGCGTATTATTTCGTTAACAGACTTTAGTGCCATCTTTCGACCTCGTTTCTTTACATCAGTTATGCGACTGAGTCATGAAATTATATTGTCACGTATTAACCATATCGTAGAGTATTTCATGTACTATCTACGATTTACTTTCACGCAACGCATCGTTACGATTGATATCATTACAAATCTTTAGAATGAAAATAAAATCTAGACAGAAAAGTTACAAACTCTGCATACTTTTTACAACAGAGGATAACATTATATATTTAAATGTCATCAAAATATATTGTTCAT